CCCGGGAGCCGCTGGAGTCCGGCCCAGCCTCCCCCGCACAGGGGGAGCAGGGCTGGCCCCACCAGGGCTCCGTTCCCTTCTGAGGCCGGAAACCAAGAGAAAAAAGTTCCCGGGTTTGTGGTTTTTAAAACGTGGAATTCACAGAAGTGGACCTAACCAAGAGAAAAAAGTTCCCGGGTTTGTGGTTTTTAAAACGTGGAATTCACAGAAGTGGACCTAATTTTTAAATGGTGCAAAATGTTGTCAGTTCTCAGAACCAGCCAGGCATTGGCCTGTCTTAGGCACAGAAGAAGCTCCCAGCAGCTTCCCTCAAATAAATCACTTCCATGGGTGTTTCTTACTTCTTTCCCCAAATATCAATCAATGTCAAACCACCATACCAGTGGTCTCAGTGTTCACTGAAAAATGAGAATTGGTATTGTTCTTAAACACACAATGAAGATGCAAATGGAATTTGCTTTGCTAAAGAACTTCTTTTTCCTTTGTAAGATTTTTCTTTAAAGTGCACTTTAGGAAAGAAAATTTAAAAAAATCAGTAAGACATAAATATTCATGACAGTATTTTTGGAGCTGCCATAAACAATCTATAGCCTTAAGTCCATCCCATAGAGCAGAAGCAGCTCCAGTAATTCAGCCATGTAATGTGAATTCCAATATCCTTTAATGCACTGAAGGCAAGCATATCTTGTGTCATGGGCTACTATGTTGCACTATACAAGTCTATAAAAGCCACCTGAATGAAATGAACAATTATTTATATTTCATTAAGGAAAGGCACTTGACCAGAAAATACAGAATAAGACTGTATAGAGATTGACAACTCTATACTGCAGCACCCCTTGATAAATACCAAATTGACACTTAAAAAATGCTTTAAAAAGTCTTCCTTCTTTTATCTTAGGCTAGGTGGATAGTTTACCTGCTTCCTGGGTAGAAATATAGTCATAACTCCAAATTGTTTGTTTAAACTCCACTGTGAAACATCATAACCAAATGATGCCATTTCAATTTATGATCAATATATTGTTGTTCAGGTTATTTTGAAAATTTCAAAGAAGATTTTCATAATATTGGTAATGATGAAATACTGAAGAAATCACCCATAAATTGCATTTTCTAACTGCAGAACTGTTCCTGACATCTGTAATAAAATTTTATGTCCTATCATCTTTGTCCTATAATCACCCATCACAACTTGTGACTTAACCACACTGAGCCTTCTTAACTTTCACTTACAGTTTTTGTACCTTTTTTTCATGGTTGATGCTGGCTCAGAAATTAATGTCTGTAGGAGCAGCATGTTAGGCATGTCACCTCTTCAGAAAGTAGGCTGTAAGGATTAAAAGTGAGTCTCTCAAGTGGAAGGCAGGATTCTGGCTTGCAGGGCTGCTGTCCATGCTCAGAAGGACAGCAGAATAACATTCAGCTATTATTAAGGTAAAATTAAAGCTTCCTGCCTTAGAAAGAATGATAGGATTTTATCTCAGCTATCTCTTCCACAAGTTCTAACCAAAAAAATGGTGTCTTCATGCCTTCAAGCTTTTCTCCATCTTTTTTTTGACCCTAATTGCTTCTACAGACTCTGTTATGCAGGGAGGGGCTTTTGGTTGGTATGAGAGGGGCTGCCTCGGTCACAGGAGCAGCCCAGGGGAGCAGCCACAGAAGGAAAAAGGAAGGACAACTGGTGTAAACAATCTCTAAAGTATTTTTTGTGTTGAATGCTACCAATATGAAACACACCCTGTGGTATATGGATGGAGCTTGCCACCTCACCAATGACCTGAATGTTTAGGCAGCAAACACCATGTATTCCCATCCCTGCTTCTCCTTTACATTAGTACATTTTACAGAAAAACAATGAACACAACGAAGTGTTATGACCTATGACCAGAACAGGCACAGGCAGAGTTCAGCCACATCCAGTTTAATCTCACAGAAATGCTAAAACACAAAGTACTGCAAAACCACCAGATCAGGGGTAACAGCAAATACATGCTTGCTTATTTCTATGTAAGGGATAGAGTCACACTTCTCTGTGCAGTGCAACCACCATGCTTTCCCCACCAAGGTTTTTTATCTTTCCCTCCCCAAAACACAAGTGCTGCATGTGGAACACTTTTCTTTGGCCTGGTGTTGACAGACTGGAGTGGTCTGATAGAAGGGTTGCACTGTCACCTTCAGCAAACAACACCCTTTCATGTAATGTTTTTCCAAACTTCCATCGCAGCTTCACATAGAGGCTCTTATGACATTGTCACCTGTCAAGGAGCTTGGAAATTACAGTTGAGTTATAATAATATTTAACTAAAACCTTGACAAATTCTGACACCCAAACAGAGCCTTGCAGATGTGATTTCCCCTTCCCTGGCTTTCTCCTCACACTACAGACTAGAGGTGCCAGTACTGGAGACCAGGAATCCAATCCAGCTCCTTGCAATAACAAATGTTAAAACTGCCTTTTTTTCTGTTTTCTGACTACTGAGATAAATAATTTCTATGTAAAGCAAAGCCATGCATGTGAGCCTTTAATTTTATTTGGAAACACATGGATTTTTGTAAACTATTTCTTACCCAAGACAGATATTCACAGCCATATATCACAGGCTCACTTCACACCTCTGCCATGAAAAAGTCTATTCACACTTTAAAATTCTGTGAAATTATTAGAAAACTTATTAAGAAAAAAAAAATATCAGTTATAGAAAATGTTTTGTAGAAGCTTCTGTTTCCAAAGCAACTTTTTATGTCACACTTTTCCATCAGATTTGGAAATTTTGTTGCATGGATGTTTACATGATAATACGTATTCAGTTATATTTTGACAGCCTTCTGTGGGCTGTTAAAATAGTTTGTTTTCCACAAAAGAAAGTCTAACGACCACATCAAGCTGAGCCTTTGGGGGTTGGTTAAATTTCTCATTAAACTGATGTTTTAGTATAGTAGGGACTTTTCTTAGTGTGGCAACTTGCCAATTAAACATTGGGGAAATTCAGATGCAGATAAATTAAGTTTATAAGTAAGCTTGCTGAAATGACAAATGGGATTTGCAAAGTTGAAACGGGAGTTTCTGTTTCTCCTGTGTTATAGGGCAGTGCCCTCCACTGGCCAAATGTTCTCACTTTTTGAATGAAAGAGCAAAAAATTACTGCGACTCAAGAATAAAACCTCAAAAACACCTCCAAACCCCCTCAGAACCAGTGTCAAATTCTTATAAAACGTTATTACATAATGGCACTAATTTATACTAATGCCAACCTTGCTTTCATTTTACATGGTAATAAAAATAATTTGGGTGCTGGAAAAAATCCCAAGGCAGCCCTTTTAAAGAGTTCCAAATTAGAAGTGAGAAGACAAAAATGGGTAGTGCTAAAAAGTGTAATTTAACATGAGACCATATAGTGGTAAAAAGCATAGAACCAGATTAGCAATTACTACTGTCTGTTAAATTTTCACTATTTTCATTCATTTTTTTCTGTTCAGAAATGACAGATACTTGTGAAAATCCCTCTTTGAAGCAACTGATAAATGTTTTGGAGTGCCATGCTGAGGACAGAACTAGTTGCATCAGCAATACCTGTGTTCGATGTACTTGAGAATGAGAATCAATAATTGTCAAAAGCCAACAGACAATGAGAAACCTGGAAACAAGATGGATATAGACGTATGCCCTCCACTCATAGTACTGTGGGTTACCCCAGGGACACTATTTTAGTAATAAAAGTGTTATTAATGAGTTTATAGTTGATTCAATTATCCTACACAAGATCACTATCCAATTACTAGATTCTATATTCTATAGAATATAAAATATAGAATATAGAATGTATTATACAGAATATATTATATAGAATATAGAAAATATTTATAGTATACTTATTATATATTATATTCAGTGGGATAGAATTGCTGGTGAGAAGGTGACCTATTTCTTTAATAAAAATAAAAACAATAAGCTATAGGAGGAAGTTATGATAAAAATACAAAGATAAATGGAGCTGGCAGAGATAGACAAAAACCACAGAAATACTGAAAATACGCTTGGTGTTACAAATTGTACACTTAGATCTTCAAGCAGAGATAAAGGACAAAAAATATTCTTAAGATCTGGATAAAACCTTGACTACCAGCTACAGATAGTGAGAGGCTGAAAGTCAGAAGATGAGTTTAACATCCCCTTTTTCAAGGGCTTAACAATGATCATTTTCTTTGATAACACCTAGTGCAAGTTTTAAGGCCTAGTGTAAGTTTTACCATTTGTCCCATTCACTTTGTATAAAATTCCTGTGTTAGTGGGCAATGAAGAAAATTAGTAATATTTCATATCTGCCAGTCATATTACCTATTTCTTCTAGGAAAAAAAAAACCAACTAAAAAAAAACCACCACCAAAAAACCCTAAACCAGCACTGTTCCTAAACTTGTTTTTAAAAAGAAAAACCTGATTCCAAGACTAACCATGAAGCATCCTCCTTTGAATACAAATTTGATTTTCCACCCCAGTACACAGCAATCAGGGTATCCCCCAATCTCTGCAGAACCCAGCTCTGGTGACATGGGGAGCAGCTTTGGTCTGTTCTTCCAGGCAGCCTGAAACAAGCACAAGCACCAAGAGACAAAGATAACCAAACCCCTCTGGCCTCATTAAGCCTCAATCCTCACAAAGGGTCCTGCTCACCACTGGAGACTAATTTGGGATGCTCTTTTTCTATTAGGATTCACCAGTGACACAGAGCAAGGCATTCAGTCACCTTCACCCTTGGGGTCTCAGTTTCCCCTGTTAAAAGAGGTTTGTTTTTCATCCATTGCCTCACCTCAGATCTGTCTTTCCCCCCTTCATCAGGGTTCCCTTGATTGTTTAATAATCACATTTTAATCCTGGGTTTTCCTGCTAATCCTTTTGCAGGTGAAAATTCCCTTGAACAATCTAAGAACCAGTTTTGTACTGTGAGCTTGAAATAAAAAAACTGGAGTAGGTGGGAACAGTGGATATCAGGTTGCTTCCACATTCAGGTCTGTGCTTCTGTTACATTACTTAAAGACCTTAAACAGAAGCAGTGAGTCATTTTCACAGCCACAGCACCCACACTCCTACACAAGCACCTTCAAGCTTTCTAAACCTCTGCAGAGAACTGTTTTAGCCAGGATTGGATCAAACCCATGGCTCCTAAGCACAGCTTGACTCTGCTGTGGATAGAGCCTCAGAAAGAAGAGCACCTGCTGGTCTCGCTCTCAGCCCATGAAAAGTACTTAAGCCACTTTCCCTGTGGGGAACAGGTGGAGTTCTCAGCTCCCTGGCAGCCTGTTCCAGTTGAGGAGTCACTGCTCAGCTGTCCCCTGAGGGCAGCTAGCACTGACCATGGGCACTGTGTGTGCATCTCACCTGCCAGAGGCTGAGCTGTAGCACTGCCCTGCTCCCCGCCAGCTGGCATTCACCTTCATGTGACCTCAGGGAGCCACAAAATGTACGCCCAACCACAGCTGCTTAACCATGCTGACATATAGAATTTCTAACTTTTGCTTTTCCTTACAGTTGAAAGAGCTTTAGATACCACAGCTTTAAACCACAGAGCTCTGAAAAACAAAAACAGGATGTCTGCCTCTGAAGCTGCTGCTCTGTGTATTTTTCCTGAGACTGTGCTATCTGGGACCAGGTTGGTGTAATCTTTCAGTGCAGTCTATTGGCCAAATTCTCTCCTGATGGAAAATGAAGTGTGGTGTGTACAACAGAAAATGTTGTCATGGCCAAGGGTTCATGTCATCACAAAAGTAGAACCAGCTGAAGATAAAAAATAAATAAAATAGTAAGTCTTAAAGTTATTGGGTTCTCTTTTACTCTTGCAAAACTCCAGTGATGAACTGATGGAGTCCCCTTCTGACTGTTCATCAGAGAATTTGAAATATTAGGTGAGTAATTAGATCAGGCAGTGAGGCAGTCCAAATTTTTCTTGCTACAAATAGAACTACTCATCAACTGATTGAAACTAATATATTTATTTAATCTGTCAGAACTGATTAGTCTTTAACAACATCATTTTTATTCAACTTTGGACACCTCAGAAGCAGCCATTATAAACCAACAGAGCTCTATTCAGGTCAGAAGCACATGGGATTTTTGGCCCCTGAGGAAATGGGCAAGAGATACCCAACAAGAATTTTAGGCAGTGACAGTGTTATAAACTGAAGGTGATGCTTTTGTCCCCTGGCTCAGGAGTTGTTCACATTTGTGCAGAGATCAGAAACAAACATCATCCCAGCTGTTGAAGAGATCCAAAGCAGCTGTGTTTATATAGAATGGTCTCTCAAGCTCAATTTTCCAGCTTGCTGCTGGATTTTACTGACACCTTCTACTAGGGCAGCTTAGCTTCTCCAGGCTTGCATGGACCACTCACATCAGAATTCCAATGGTGGATGCATCCGCCACTGAGACCTGGGCAGTGCTGCAACACATTGAACTGGTTTGCTTTCAGTCAAATATCACCTTAAACAATAATATCAGCAGTTTTCTAGCAACCTGATCCACCTGAGTTACTGTGACAGGAATCTGCTACACACAATGTGCAGACTGATGTGAGAGAGGTTTGTCTAAGGCAACGAGGCTCAAGGGTAGGAAATCTGTTTTCCTAGGATATCATTTGCCCTTCCCACACAATGGACAGAATTTGCAAGGGAGTGTGGCCTAAAGCAAAGCTTATGTCACCAAAGAGCATCTCTACTGTCATCCATCCAGCAGAGCAGACTTCACAAGCATCTGTTGTTCACATTATAGAAAACAACTCTCAAAACATTACAGTTGTTGACCTGGCACCACATTTAATAATCAACACAAGAAGCTTAAAAATGACCAGTTGCAGACTTTGAAATAAAAGTTTACTGCAGGATTGATTTTGTAGCTTAAAACACTTGCTGGAGGCAAACAAAACTTTAACTTTTGGCAGCTAAAGTCAAACTTGAGTTCACAAAGTGCTTCATGTTAAACTGTAATCATTGTGGGATCCTGGCATGAACATGATATGTGAAAGCCAAGTTTTCACTTATTTTGAAAGTTGAGAAGACTCACTGTGTATTCATATATATATATATATATATATATATATATATATATATATATATATGTATATATACACACACACACACACACATATACACACTCACACACCCTCTTTTGGCTACACTCACACACCCTCTTTTGGCTGGATTTTACTCTTGGAAGCGTTTCTCTCTAATCATTGACTGCTTTTACAACTCTAGGATGAAGATTTGTTGGCCCTAATTAAGTGAAAAGCAGAAGCCATGCTGTTTTGGAAAGCTCGCACACCAAAGCACACACCAAGAATTACCTGCTTACAATTCTGCCAAAAGACAAGATAAATAATTACACTGATATCTGTGTATCAGGTAAATGCAGTGTTAATATCTTACTGTTTGCATTAGAATTGGGAGTTTAAACCTGGATCCACAAATACAACATGTGCTGTGCTTCTATCATAAAGTTCACAGTTAAAATAAGGACACACTACACATTTCTGCTCAAGAATCAGGACAACTCTTAAATGAATGCATCCTACTAGGCAGAAATGCAGACACAGAAAATAAGACGATCAGTGATAGAGGTGAAAGCTACTGTGCTCAGTTTAGAAGCAGAAAACTAGATGCAATGATGTTTTGACTTTGTTCTTACATGGCACCTTTATATCCATAATTTTTGACCTTATGTTTTCTATACATTTGAAGTTTCTTACAAATATTTAGAAGCTATAATTTATACATATGTTTTTTTATCATGGGGTTTAGAATACAAAAATCCTTAATTTAGCAATTGCAGTTGCAAGATCATTCTGTTTCTATGCACCTGACATCCACATCAAGAGGAATGAATGATTTCAGAGCATATTACTTTAAACTGTGTAGCACAATACTTTAAATCTGTCCATAATTTAATTTCTTTTTTCATTTGTGCATTTCATTATCCTTCTGCTACTTTTTATTTTCCCCACAAGGGAAAAGTGCATTTCAACACCAATAGGAGCTAAAAATGCAGGTACAGTTTATACTATACAAGTCACATAAGTCACAATACCACCATGTTTCATGCACTAAACAGTAGAAATAAGATTAGAACTGAGAGGTTTTTTATCTCAAATGTAAAACTCTTTGCTTGCACTGTGCTGAATAAACAGAAGAAAAAAGACCAATTTAATAGAACAATTTAGAATTCTCTCATTTGAAAGCAACGCCAATATTACATGTGGGGAAATACAAGGACCAGGATATCTGGTATGAAAACACAGTAGTTTCTTTAGATGCTGCAGACACATCATCTATATGAATTCCCTGGACAGAAAGCAAATATAGGATGTGAAAGAAAACCTCTTAAAGTCAGTCACACCATAGAATGCAATCACATGGCTTTCAAATTCATTCTGAACACCGCACAGTGGATATTTTTCCCTACCTGAAGGCAAGCAATTTTTTTTCTTTTTTATTTTTTTTTAATCTCAGATATTTATTAAAGTGTTTTTTTCCAGTGACAAGCCTGTATTTCTTCTTGCAAGGGTATCTCAGATGAGTTTTTACCAACATTACCATAACATCCAAACACCAGTTAGACCTTCATGAGCCTGCTAACTCAGGGGATCTCTTCACCAGCATTATTTGTATCAGTTTCTGATGGGAGATAAAGCATTTGCTATAGCACCTGGATGCTCTGGTCCATCCAGGCCTTCCTCTGTGTTTTAATGCTTTGCTTTACATTTAAAGTTTACTCCAGAATACCCATGCCCAAAACTGGACATGTATATTACAGGACAAAAGCATGAAGGTTACTAAAGCACAATATAGAGTTGTCCTGTATAATTATTTTGTTTATTTCTAGAAATATTTGCTAAGCCAAGTAAAAGCGAAAATTCAACAATGGCAGTGAACTCCCTGATGGGGGTTTTCTGTCCTGGATAATAATTTCACTTTCATATTTGTGTTTCATCATTTTCTTAAAATTGTGCCTGCTTTATAAAAATATTACATGAAATAGCCTTTCTATTTTCAGGCTGTATTTATAAATGATTATTTCATTTAAGTGTCCAATCAATTCATATTAAGACTTCTTTAGAGCTTAATCTGATGGAGATATCTACTAGTTTAAAACTGTCTGTAAAGCTCATAGCTCTCAGGAACTGTGTCAGCTGACTTTAAAAGTGGGAAAACAAAGACACCCATACTGCTATCCACCCACAACAGAGCAGTGCTGCTTTTCCAAGCATCTGGCTACTTCCACCAAACTTAAGGCTAAACTTGCATTTGGTAGGAAATGTTCACATTTAGTTAAACAAGATCAAACTCACAATCACTTGATGTGAAGCTAGCCAGCAAAATAATAACTCTTACTAGGTGATAGGTGTCCCTCATAGTTAATGAGCATTAATGTGATCAGTTGAGAGCTGCTGCTCATTCATTGTGCCACACTGGATGTCGCTACCATGGGGACTCCTCGGGTACCAGGTCGATGTCATCAGTAAAGCTATTGGCCCGTGACATGTCTGGGGTGTGCCCTTCCAAGTGTCTCTCCACTGCACAAATGATTCAAAGAGATCATAATATGCAAGTGACACAAATCTGAAAGCTCTTGCCATAGCACATACAAAGTTCCAACACAAGGAACCTCTCACAAGAAAGGTTTGTCTTCTTGAGGGCTGTCTCCTGTGAACAGAAATTCACCACATCTGCAATATAAATGTGGGTATGACAATACAAACGATCAGATTTCCATTTCCTCTTTCAACACCATTTGATATGTATGCTTTAATACCTTCACAACTATTATTTAAAATTTTGTTATCATACAGACAGCATACTTGAAACCAAAGTACTATCTGCTCACTACAACCACCAGTGTTCCAAGTTTCTCTAGTCTTAAAAACGAGTTTCACTTAATAAATTATAAAAATAATTTAATATAAACAAAAGACAATTAGGAGACAAAAGAAATAAAGCAAAGGGTTAAAACGGCCGGGTGCCCTGGTGGGTTACCAGGAACACACCTGGTATCTCAGGAGTGTCCTTTTTATCCCCTCTTTGCTGTGAGAGGTTAATGCATATTCAAGCATGTCCCCTCCCTGGTTCCACCTTCTTGGATCATGTTATTTTCTGCTGGTCAGCATTATTTTGGAGTTTGGTTTCTTTTTTGCTGCAGATGGTCACTTGTTGATAACAGCCTGGGCCCCTCATCCTTCCCCTGAGGGCAGCTGGTCTTCATATCTTCCGCTGATAACAGTTTGGGCTCTATTGTTCTCCTGATAACAACTTGGGCCCCACTGTCCTTGCCCTCTGGAGTTTCCTTGCCTTGTACCTAGGAGATTCTTTTAAACTTAAGACTTGTTAGCATAGCTAAAAAGTATTTAATATATAATATTCATCTGCGAAAGCCAATATCACAATACAAATTTATAACACTAGGAAGCCTCAGGAGCAGCACTGATGTGGCTGCATCGTCTGCAGAATAACCTTGGTGGATACAAGCTGTGTTGGAGTTTAGGTCATGTTCCAAGTGTTACAATGGTACAAATTTCAGTACAGGTTTTGAAAACATATAATAGCCAACTATTGAAGGACTTCACTAAGACACTAGAAAAATCAGAGAAGTGCAGCTGGCCCTGTAAGTGCTAAAATCCAATGTTTTCTAAAGATCTACCTTCAAAACTCATTTCCATTCCAAAGAATAGGGCTGACTTCATCATAAATGTGCAGTGTACATGTACCTGCCTTTCTAAGTTCAGATAGATGAATATTCAAAAGCTATTTCTGCTGACAGTTCTCTTCGATATCTTTTCCTACATTAACTTGGTTCAAAAGATATAAAGTATCTCTAGCTTAAGTTGCTGTGATCTAAAAGCAATTTAATTCATGATTCCTGGTGGTCCTAACAGTTTCTAAGGAAGCTACCTATAAATTTTAATTCTGATAATCCTTGAAAGCACATGAGCTGACAGTCTAGCTTGGAAAATGGATAGGATGACATATAAATTCAAGGGAGGAAAAAAAAAGTGTGTGTAGGTGTATCATTAAAATTAAGTTGATGCTTATTTTGATGCTATGATAAACAAGTAAAGACTAAATAATGTCACTGCCATATACTGTGGTAACAACCCATGTGACAGAAATAAGAAACCTTGCCTTCTAGAAAAGAAAATTATTGAAATCTCCAGTTAATTCCAGAACAACACTTTAGCTGGATTGCATTCAAGTTCAAGGTAAATACTAAAAACAACAACAGAGCTTACTGTTGGAAGAGCCACAACCCAAACGGAAAGGAGTGAAAATTATGTCTATGGAATCGAATTATCAAATTATGTAACAGAACACTGACAAATGGTATAAAATAATGTCTTCGTTTGGAAGACAAGTGTCTGCTAGGGAGAGCAGAAGCTTCCCTCAGAATGAAAAATGTAAACCCCCTTCGTCTGAATTACAATAATTCTGAAATCAAGGGGCTTTCAGGCAGAGATCTGGGGATAGGAAAAACAGTTCTTTACTAGTATGTATAACAAGGCACACAAACAACAATAACTACAGCTTTAACAACAAAACAGAACCAGGGACCCTGTGACAGCTTTCTCGGCTGAGACGGGAAGGGATGGAGGAGAGGCTTTGTTTCACAAACCCCTCGGGCAGCCAGTCCCGGTGCTCCTGCAGGGCTCTGAGGAACACTCAGCTGGAACAGCAGGGATGAGCAGAGATCCTGGGCTGGTGGCTGAGGTGGATCAGCAGCTCCGCGGCGGTGGCTGGCACTGCCACACGTCCCGGCAGGACAGGGGGTGCGAGGCCACCAACAAAGAGGGAAGAAGAAGCAGCAGCTCCGTCTGGGTAATGGCGAAATTCCCTTCTCTCCACAGCAACAGCTCTGTGCCCAAAGTGTCCTTCTCCAAAGCTGAAGAAGTCCGCAAAACTGTCCCCGCCCTCCCCTTTTCCTGCTCCCTTCCCCCCCTGGGCCCGGCCGAACTCTGTGTTCTTCAAGTATCCACCAAGTACCCGCAGTTAGGTTTTCCCCTCAACGAATGGGTAAAAATTCCACAGGTAACTAAAAGAAGGACACCTAACCCCCAACAAATAACAAAGCTATTTTATTTACCTCTGCTGCATTTAATCACAAATAAACTGTGTGTTTCCAGGGGAAACCCAAATCATCCTGGCACTGGGAGCATGAACTTCTGTCCTCTCCCAACACTACTGAAACACTTTGGCTGTTCTAGGGGAGCTTTATTTTCTAAGACCTGCCAGTTCTGCATTTGTTCTGATAAGACATTTTTCCTGTGAGAGAACTATGTGACCTCATACTTTGCCAGACAAAGTCTTGAAACACACAGATCCAACATTTGAAGTATGGCTTTGGGAAGCACCAATCTCTGAACAAGTAAAATGGCATATGATCACATCTGCAAAATTCAACTGGGGGAGTTTTGGCTTCAGCTACAGTAAAGTTTTCCCTGTAGGAACATAGCAAAACCTAGGAGTGGGCTAAGGCAGAGTTAAATCACTGTGCCCATATTAGGCACATCAGATTAACAGGAAAACTCTGCATTGCTATCAGTTCCTACTTCCAATGAACTGCTGAAAGGGTCAGAGCATGGCCTAGTTAATGCCAATTGCCATAACTAATGGCAGTTTGCCTCCTTCAGAGCACTGCATA